ATATTCCACCTTTAGAGAGTCATTCCTTTGACTGAATTTACTGCCTCTCCTAATATTCAGTTCAATCCAATAAACATTTATTGAGCACTGTGCAAGGTGGCAGGGATAAAGAGATGAAAGTTATTACCTTTTATATTAAAGGCTTGTCAGTCCTGCCGGTTCCACTGGCTCCTTAAGGAAAAGCAACCTGACCAGTCTGGCCACATATAAGGGAACTGCTCAGTAAGAATGCTCCATATCAGAGGAGAATTAAGCACCCATGTTCGGTCAGGGACAATGGGATGTGAAACCAGGCCTGCCTGGAAAGAGGGTCAGAGAGAATACATTTCCCAGGGTCCCAAATAACTTCCAGACATCTAGAGAACCACCTCAAGAAAGGCCAAGCGGGGAGCTATGTTGTAATAATTTAAAATTTTAAAATAATAATAATAATAAAACAGAAATAACAAAACTAATCCTCACTAAGCCTCTCATTACAGCCAAAGCACTGTGCTATCTATTTGATCTTCCCAACAATGCTACAAAACAGGTTTTAATAACCAGTACGTGTTTAAATTACCTGCTCGGTTAAATTTTCTTAAAAGCTTGCTGGAATGACGTTAGGAAATCTATAGTAAACAATCTGAGTAAAATGACCCTTTTATCCAAGAGATGCTAATTTTTAAAACATCTTGTAGGTATGGGGCTGTTTTGTTTCCTTCATCTCTTCTCTTAAACTACTCACTCCTCTAGAGGTTTAGCAAAGGAGAAAACATATTCAATGACTACAGTCTTATCATTTCAAGTTTGAACAACAAAGAAATGTACGGGAAAATCTTTCCCAGCCACAGACTTTGCAGATTCTGTCTCTGCCTTTTCCCTTCAGCGAATCTGCTGGGGGAGACCACAGGGAAGAAGGAATTGGAAACCTTGCAGGCAAATCAGGCTCGCTCACCTAACAGACTTCTACCACAGTGGTCTCTGTTTCTTTTTTTTTTTTTAATCATGTGCTTCATCAGTAAACAACTTTGAGTGTGTACCATATATATATGCATATATATGTGTATGTATATATATCATATAATTATTTACCCATTTTAAGCATGTTCTACTGCATATTTATTATGTACATTATAGAACTCACTAAAAAATAAGTTTAAAAGTATGAATTTAAAAATTAAAAAATTCTAAAATCTTTTCCTACCCCTGTGGGTCTTGTTGCCTGCCCCCAGGATACAAACATTCCACTCTACTCCAGTGACAATTTCATGTTGCCATATCTGCCAGAAATAGCTCCTGCTCTAGCTGATGCCTGAAGGTCACTAAACCCTGAATCCATAAATCAATAAATCAGAGCGTAGGCGTTTTCCTCCAGACCCCTCAAGACTCATCTGCTGCCGCTGGAGCATTCTAAGACAGGCAGGAAGCTCCACCAGAGAGCAATACCCACCAGACATTCTCTTAACCCCACAAAATGCCCGGGGCATTGTGTGTTTTCTAGATGGGAGGCCTTACGAAAGATGATGTCAGATGGGGAGTGACAGTCTGTTTTCAGGATTTGTTTTTGAGAGAATTGCTTACCCCTGGCTTTGAAGCCAACCACATGCCCTTGATCATACATAATTATACCGAGGCTGGAGGGGAACATGCACTTCAGAAGCTGGGTGAGGCCAGTACAGTACACAGACCGTGAATTCCTGACCACCAGAGAACCCCTCAAAGAAAGAGAACCAAATCCTGTAGACAAGTAACATTTGAAATATTTTGTGTGTAAGTTTTATTTTTTTTTCCAGATAAAAACTACCATTGTTGTCAGAGAAAAATACAAGGCACACATCAAATTCTAATTAAGTGAACCTAAGTTACATCATGTCTTCTCCTGTGCTGGCCTTTGCTCTGATGTTATGCTTGGTGGGCAAATAGAAATGTACCAGAAAGTGTACACATCCACATCCTGCAAGGGAAGTTCCTCCAAGAGAGCTTTCTAGAGAGCAAATTTGTATCCTGCACACATGTACAGTATACTTACATGTACTTAAGTTCTATATTCCTGGTGTGAAACCTATTTAGTTATTGTATATGTTCTTTTAATACCCTACTAGCTTCAGTTCATAAAGATTTTATAGATTTAGTTAAGAGTTTTGCATTTTTCATAAATGAGATTTATCTTCGAGATTATTATGTCTACTTTGGTTTTGCCAAAAGGCTTTCAACCTTTGTAAAATGACTAAGAAAGAAGCTTCTCCGCTTTCTCTATGCTAACTTATATTAGTATTTATCACACACGTATATTTCCTTATATTTTTCTAATCAAATTGTGGCTCTTCTCAAAGGATATTCACGTCTGCGGGGTTTCTGTGAGGATTATAGCACTAATGCTTTTCTTACCCTGCTTGAGCTACAAGAGAGTGGAAGACCTTCTTGCCCCGAGGCAGACTGTCTTAGATAAATATTTTGATTCCTAGGCCAGTATCAATGAATTTCTTGTGAAATATTGAAACTAGCCTTGCAAGACAATGGGCTCTTTCACAGCTCTGTTATTTGTTTAAGAAAGCACTACTAGTCACAAATCCAAAAATGGCATTTTGGATTTAAGATTTGTTTGATGGTAACAGTAGTCTAGTGTATAGACATCACTTTCTTTCCCTTTCCCTGAGTGCTTCCCAACCAGATTTCCAAGTATCTTAATTTTTATGTCACAAAACAAAATGTAGATATTTTGCTTATAGATTATATCTATGTATATGTTTATGTAGATATATATATGTGTAATATGTATGCCTATATTACATAATACTTTTTTCTTTGGGGGAGATAGTCTGGAAAAAATCAAACTGGTAGACTGTCTAAAGGTCAGATTGCAGCTCACATCAGAGTCCCCTCTCCTTTTGCCCCAACATTTGTGTCTCTCCCCACCTCAGACACCTCTGTATTCTCAGTTATTCTGGTCCATCTTTAATAAGATTTTTTGAAACAGCATTATTTCTTCCTGTTTTAAAGATATAAAACTCTGGCTAATTTATTTTGGCCAAGGGAGAATACCAAAAGAGTCCTGGTTCTAGTGTAATCCCAAGAGAGATAACAGTAGAACAGGTAAACTTGCAAACTCCAATTCTAATTCACAGGGAAGAAGGAAGGAGAGGATTGGGGAGATTAATAATATTTATTATGTGGACGTGGAAATGTGAATTACTAACCATTGCCCGAGACAGGATTTGCTCTTTTTGAAGTCTAATATGAGTCTAGGAGGGCTCGGGAGTTTCCTGCAGGATGGATTTTCCAACTGTCTTGTTCTGGATTTCAAAGGCCCGGTGAAAAAGGGAACGGAGGAGGGCCCTGTGCTTGTAGAGTTGAAGACAGGAGGGTTTAAGGATACATGGAAACAATTTATTCTTGCTTGGAAGGGGAGACACTGATCACGAAGCTGGTTTCCACTGGCGGAGTGTGATCTCTCCGGCTGTGCAGACTCCCGCGACTTCTCCAAATACGTGTGTGTGGGAGGGGGCGCTGCACAAGCTTTCTCCCTAGTTTGCTCAATTCAAAGTTAGAATGAATGTTTGTGCAACTGACCTTTCAGGTTAAGGGCGATCATTTGCCGCATATTTGAAAGAAAGCATGTTTTGTCCTTGTGCTTGAAGCTTTAAACTGACAACGTATTTTCATCAATACAAGGACTGGATTTTCAAACGTGGTTTGCCAAATTTCATCTTTTCAGACTAGCTCTTTTAGTTACGTGTACAGAGCCTTGCTGAAC